ACAGTAAATTGACACTGAGTGTCCAAAGCCGGGGCACACGCCCAGTGCCTCTTTCTAGCAGTCATTGTATTTATTTCCACAACGGGCCTTTTTCCTAGTAATAGATAAAACTTGATTAGATGAGCCAGTAAGAATATGCATAAGGCAGCTTGATACGAACATCATAAGATCCGTTATATTTCCATCTTGATGCTGTAGCAGTTACAAAATTATTTTAGACAGAAGGTATAAGTGTATTACCAATACCTGTTGGTATTGAGTACAAATCTAGCTCAGTCAACCAGCATTGTACACTTAATGCTATACCGCTACAAAGAAACATTTGTATTTTCATGGTACGGTACATTAGATGCTATTTTTTTTTTAACTTGCGCACACAATAAAGTATGTGTTTGTGTGTTTAATGTGCCTGCTATAACCAAAGTTGAAGTAATAAAGCTTGATTGAATTCAGAATTCAATTTGGCTATTCCAGTGCAATATCTCTAACAATGCCGCAGGGTCTGATGACAAAGTGATGGATATGTATGACTTTAATATCTAGAACTGTCACAGATACAAGAGATCCAGAAGAAGCAGTAAATATTCCGTTTCCTGCTGCTCCATTCTCGTGTGAGAAAAACTTGCAAGACATAGTTAACACAACATTATTCCACCACAGGCCTCTTTTAACCACAGTTAAGAGAATGGGGAGTAGTATCACAGGATCACACATTCCCTGTCTACAGTCTCTTCCTTAAGGAACCGACCGCCTAGCCTTAATTGCAGCTAGAGGGGCACATCTGTGCCAATTTTGTCCATGGCTAAGGCTGCACAGGTTCTCCACTTAACCCGAATTTCTTAACCGGCTGGTAAACTGCAGCATAGCAGTGCAGACAAATTCCTCAACCACACTTAGGGCAGGAGGGGAAACTAAGTTCCAGGGAAGGGTGTGTGTAATCCAATGGCCCACTTAACGGGGCTGCACTAGCTCTGTTAGTAGGAGACCGTTATGGACCGGGATTCACGAAGTTCCTCAGTTGCATACAAAGACTTTTGCAGATGGACTAGGACTTCCTTTTTTTCTCCAGACTGCAGCCCCTTGCACTGCATTGGCTGCTGTTCCTGATGCTCTCCGACTTACCCTGTTTTGGAGCAGTCGGTTGAGGGGGGAGACGACAGTATCCTCACAGCCCAGCCATAGCCCTTATGGTCATTAAAAATGCTCCAGTTTCCAGTCTTTTATACAGATGTTTGCTTAAGCACCGTACACTACCATTCATAAACGATATAGCACTAATTATAACCAAAGGCGTCTAACCAGCAGCTTCTTAATTGGGGAAGGGGGCTTTTTTTCAGAATTGGAAAGAACAAATCTGCAAGGCGAGGCTGCAGAAAACATGCATTACAGTTCATGCACTTTCCCATACCCACCACTGCCATTTCAGCAGTCCCCTACCCCTCCTACAACTGTTTCTAAACTCATCCACAGCTCACCAAAACGATGAGTGAGAATGGACTGCAGGAGCGAGCGAGCAAACCCAAAAAACCCACCCAACCAGCTGGACACAGCAATTTCCAGCATGCACATTCGGGACTCACAGGCTTGCAGCCAGACTTAAGATACCAAACAGGGACTCCTTAAAATTTAGAAAACAGGAGGAGACATCCGCATGGTCCAGATTGCCTGTGAATGCATGAGGAAAAATATGGGCTGGCGCCATCAACTAGTTCCTCCCTTTAGCCTAAGTGTTTCGAAACTGTCCATAAGCCCTGTTCGACAGAATGGAAGCTGGCCGTAATTTCACATTTGTACTTTGCAGCGATTTAAAAAAAGGTTTTTTAAATACAGCAATAAAAACTGGATTTACAGGGCAGGTTCACTGCAAGGTCTGTCAGACGTGACGAAAGCCCTCGTTTGAACTCATTCCATCACGATCTTGAAACTTCAACTTTTTTCACTCCATTCAATTTAATTTTCCTTTCAGACAATGACTTAAAAGCTGCTACAAAAAAGGGGGAAGTGTTTTGTGTTTTTTAAAAAAACAAATTACTCCGGCCTGTTTCCTTCTTTGTCCTGCTCTGCTCTGGCTAAGCAATCCTTGGACTGGAGTAGCCGGCAAAAATCTACAAATTACAACTGTAGGCTTTTGCAGGAAGCATCCAGACACCCACCCACCCCACCGGAAACTGAACCTTCAAAAGACTGTGCCTTGTCAAGGAAGTACCTGCTACCCCTATTAAATTCTAATAAGACCATAAATACAGGGTTTTCAATCCAGTCAGCAATCTGGCACTTGTCATAAAGGCAGAATTATCTTTAGAGATATTATTATTTTACATGTCTAATTTGTCCTGACCTAGCTAGTTCATCTGTCACATCAACCATCATTATTAGCCCCATTTTCTAGACTGGGGAGCAGAAGCAGAGAAATTAAATGAAATTCTTCACTGCCCTAATCATGTCTTCAGGTGAGTTATAACATCAAACTATTGTAGTTTTTATTATAGTATTTTCAAAAATTTGTTCAATGGTCAAAAAAATCTAACCAGAGAGGTAGAAGGCATACACTGCTGTTTTTTATTGGCTGCTTCTATGTGGTGAACATTTTTGTGTTTCTAATCTGTCATATCTGAATGGTGAACTTTTTGTTTCTAATTTATCATATTTGAAGCCTGCCCTTTCTCCAAGGTTGCTGTAGAAACAGATTCTTTCATATTTACCTTCACAGAAAACCCTCTAGGGCTTCTTAGACTAAGAGACAGTGATTGATCCACAGTTACCTAGCAAGCGTCAGTGCTGAACGGGGATTTGAAACCAAGATCTCCACAACGTTCAATACTCCATCTGTTACAGTGGCTCCCATCCCTTTCCTCTGAACACACCTTTGTATGAGAAGATGTCTCACATGCATATACGTGTAACAGCTTTTGTCAAGTGGGAAAGTGGATTCAGACAACAAAAAAGAAACGTCTGTCAAGAAATAGTATCAGGTAAAAGTTTCTTTACAGTGACTGTGTCAAAAAATAAATAGGTTGGATCCAGACTACATTTTCCACTAACAGAAGGTACTTCCATCAGCAAAAAAGAACTTAAAAGAACTTTTCTGCCTCCCCCTATCCCATTAAAGTCCACTGATTTCAGTAAAATGTTGGTCTTGAGGAATAGGGGGACACTCAGGAATGGCATGTGAAGGAAATCAGGAGTCTGCAGCAGGAAGGGTAACTGGCAGAAGTCACAGCTCTCCTTCCATTAGCACAAGATTTAGTCAGGGATCCAACACAATCTGAGAATCCATCACAATGAAAAGCTATACAACCAGGGATAAAACTAGCTGGCAGATTGTTACAGGTTCTGATGAATGTATTACCCACACACTCTCTGGTTCCGATAAGAACTGAAACAGTAAAGTGTTCTTGGATTCAACCTACTGCATGCTGCAACTGAGAGGGAGCTACGTAACTGAATGCTCCATAGAGACAAATCGATGGATTGGATCCTGCCTGGAATTTCTGCTGTGAGGGATAGCCAATTTGTCCTTCCTGCAACTGGAACATCATTTTCCAGGAACAGGTTCCTTCATCCCTCAAGAACAGCATTTCAGGCAGCATTTTTTTGCTAACGAGGACGTGAGAAAATCAGTGAAAACTATCCTTCCTCTCTACACTCAAAGAAATTCCAGGTGAGATCCAAGTACATTATTCTGTCATATCTCATGGGAACACATGCGGTTCTCCCAATTGTAGTCCCAAGTGGTACATTTTACCTCCTCATCCACCTTTTATATGAGCTAGGCCCCCAGAAACCAGAATTAAAGCAATCTGGAAGATTTGATGAATGTACTCCAACAGGGAATTTGAAAGTGTGTACTGGTAGCGAGTATTGTGCAGAATTTATGACCCTTGATGACTATTCCTTAATTTAAAAGAGAAAGCAATCCCATTTTACCCTGTGAAAAAGATAACACAGAATAGATTAAACCTGCCACAGCTCCCTAAAGAAGAAAGCATATTTCCTACTGGCACTGAATATTTACCTTTAAGCAATACAATTTAATGAATTTGAGAACCCATGTGTACCTTAGTTCTAAGCCTACTGTTAAAAACTCTCCAATACAAGTTAAGATGACTAGAACTGAAATTGGAAATGTAATTAAATTTACTGCTTTCAAAAACAAACCACACTATACCAAAAGATTCACTAGAGTACCATCCAATAGTCAACTTACCCTCTGAGCTCTCTCTTTCAACTCTTGATCTTGAGCTAAAGAAGACTGCATTTTCTTCTGGATGTCCACAAGCTTCTCAGGGTTGATTCTGGAGGAGGGGAAGAAAGGGAAGAGAAGGATACCTGGGTGGTGGTACACAGCAGATTTCTTAAAATCCTTGAGGTCACAAGCTCAAGACCTACAAATGAGTTCAATTCCGGGCTTAACTTTTTTTTTGGTGGGGGGAGGGCCATGGGCTCAGAGGTAGATCATCTGCTTGGCAGGTTCAAGCCCCAGCACCTCCAGTTACAAGGATCAAATATTTAGTCATGTGAAAGACTTCCCACCTGAGACCATCGACAGCTGCAGCCTGTCAGAACAGACAATACTGACAATAAATGGTGTGAGTCAGTTTATGTGCTCACATACACACACTGGGTTAGTCCCTACCATTTTCTTCTGCCAGCATCGACACAATTCTCCGGCAAAAGGCACCTGAATTGGAGGAAGGCACTTTACACCAGAGGAACATGTAGGAGTTGATGGAACGAAATGGCTGGATCTGCCTCTTTTTTGTCTCCTAAAGGATTTCAAAGCCCTATATCAAGTTCACGGGAGCACTTTTTCATTTCCTCTGTATTATTTTTAAATAGATAAAAGCTACTGCTCCTCTGAACAAGATTCTACAGAAATCATGTCAGGCATGAAGACCAGTCTCCTCAAATGAATAATGCAGAAAAAGCAAACAGAAGCTTGGGCCTTTTATTCAGAGAACGGTTTATACTGGATGATTTTTCAAGGTAAAGCCACACAATTAACATTAAATTGCTTCTTGGGCTTATAAAAAGTGTGGGAAATTGAGCTCACACTGAAGAGGGGACTAAAATATACAGCAATAATACTTCACACTGACATGGTATCTCTCCTGAGAGAACTGTGGAAGATTTTTTTGAAGTGCTTAAATAAGGCTCTCCTTGGGAAGTTCCAAAGCCTGGGGCATTTCAACCTAACGGTGGTTTCAGCCAAGTAAAACAGATGGATATGAAGATTAAGTGAAGCCACCAGAAGATCACAGGACAAGTTTATGACATATCTATGTCAACATCAGACTGGCCCATTATACCCTTACACAATATTTGCTTCCATGGTTTCTCTTAGCTGTGGAGCATTCTAGGTAAATTAACTTTGGGATTTCAGCAACAATAACCAACTCTGACTCCTGTATACAGAAAAGATATTTTAAAGACAAGAACTTTCCTCTTTTAAGGCATTTATACCATGCCTCACAAAAATACCTGTACAATTACAATAAAAGGAGGTAAAATCAGCAATAATAAAAGACTATCAATGTTGAAATCACTCCATCTAACTGTCAAGCAGCTGGCCATCATGATAATCACAAAAGTGGCAACAGCACAAGCCACCTACAAACATGGCAGGGATTTCAGCATACTTAAGGGACTCTCCGAGCATGTAGAAAAATATGATTTTGTAAATCTACTGGGGAGGCTCAAACAACCCGATGAGGACTGAATATGTCCAAGGAGCAAGATACGTTAACAACAGTTCATAATCAGTTAAAGGAAACTGGAGGAGGGGGGAGGAATTGGCCTGCTTGAGCCACTGAGAGCTTAGAGAATCCTTCATGGGGAGATCTTGGGAGCTGACAGTTTCATCATTCTTTCCCTCTTCCGCAATTCATCAGCTTATTACAACACGAAATCCAACCAAAAAGCAGCAGTTGTAGAAACAACAGCATGCACACAGACAAATTAACTATACAACTATTACCTATCCTGAAAGAGCGGTGGAAATAAAAGCATCTTCAACTTAGAATGATAAGGCACCAAGAGAACAGGCACAGGGAGGGAATTCACTGTATGAGAGCCATAACAGAAGTAAAGAGTGATTAAAATGTGAAATTCGCTGCCAGCGGATGTACTAATGGCCACAAGAATAACCAGCTTTAAAAGGGGATTAGATAGATTCATGGAGGATGTCTATCAATGGCTACAAGCCATGGTGACTGAAGGGAACCTCCACATTCAGAAGCACTAATCCTCTGAATCCCAGAGCCAGGAAGCAACATCAGTGGACAGCCTCAGCCTCTATGCCCTGTTGTTGGCCACCCAAAGGAACTGGTTGGCCACTGTGTGAGACAGGATGCTGGATTAGATGGACCACTGGTCTGATCCAACAGGGCTCTTCTTAGGTTCTTATGTAAGCCCCCCCCCCCCCCAGAGATGGGGCTTTCTAACCAGTGCAACAAGACACTTCTTCAAACTATAGGGGCTACAGAATAGTCTAAAGGTGTTTCCCTAAATACATTAAAGAATATACTATATTATGGGGAAGGGCCCCTATTACTCTCTTTTGCCTTTCTGATATAAAATCATCATAATAAATTCCTTTTTTTTTTCCTGCTGAGTAAAATACTGCTCTTCATGTAAACAGGAGAGGCAAAAAAGTCCTCTGGGCACAATGCTTCTGGGTGCAAAAGCCGTTTGCTCATCCAACACAAAATGAGCTCCCTTCTGCAACAAACTGCTTCTCTGCTGTTTAAAACCACCTTTGCAAGTCATTACATCTCTTTAAGAAAAGAGGGGAAAGGCCATTTAGAAAGAACCGCTAGCTTTACTGCACCCCCCACTTTTATCATCTGTGATTTAAAACGGTATTGTAAACAGCATTACCAGAGCTACTTCAGTAAGACCACATGAACCAATTTCAGCGTATATCGAGTGACTGAAGATATAAGGCACCAAATGGTAATTAGGTTTGTATGCATGAAGATATAAAACAGGCGTCATTATGAATACAGAAAAGAGACTATTAGTGCACTCAACTGAACTTCCCTCTGAGGAAAAGGACTAAGACAGTCATGCTTCCAGAGACCATTCACTGCCGTATTTCCAAACAGCATTTTAATACTGTGGCAGAGGAATGTATTATACCAAGCTCCTGATAGCCACAGCACAGGTTTTTTTCCTGAACTAGAAGCACACCGATAAGAGTTTACTTTAACAATCATAGACAGTAAAAATTACTCCCCCTCAGGGGAATCCAGTCCCTGAGCTTGTGTGTTTCACAGTACTGGATGTGCATCTCAGAGCAGTAATTCATAGAGATACAAAATCTCGCCTGTGGATAGGCCTACCTCCCACATCCCTACAGTTTGTGCTTGAATGCTCCAATCACACCTTAGGGTGAAAGCAAAGCAGAATCATTACCCCCAGCAGAGACTGGCTGGTACCCAACTCAGAGCATTAAACCATTCAGAAACACAGCAGGAAGGCTTCTCTTTATGTGGGTACTTTGGGCTCAATAACAGCCTTTGATATATTTCTCATGGTACGTGAGCAATTTGGGATTTAACATATTATAGCCTCTATGGAAGGAGTGGGACACAGGGAATGGAGAGTTAGAGAAAATTATATAAAATTGAGAAAGTATGTATTATTACAAAACAATTTACTTGATTTTGTTGATAGGAACTTGCTTCTGCGACAGCTGCTGAACCATGCCTTTTTCCTCTGAAGGAAGAAGGATGAGCAAAGCTTCTCCACCTTCTTTGTACCTAAATGAAGGGATAAGAACAACATTAACAAAAATAGCAGTAGTAGTAGCATAAGTAGTAGTAGTAGTAATGGTCTGGTTTCCATGTGGTAAGTAAATCTTGATATCTTCTGTCAGTGGGCCCCCTTCATGCGTCTTGGCTGTTCACTTTTCTTGGCCATGTCATGATTTGCACAAGGACCAAACAGCTGAGATGCACAAGAGTGGGCACCACACAGTCTCCGTTCCTGACATTTGGGGACAGAAGATGGTGGGCGACTGTCATTGTAAACTAGTGAGGTTCACAACTGGGAGAGCCTGTCTTACTGTGGAAAGAGGCCAAAGAGCCCTTTGTCTGAGTCTAAAGGCCAAAGCAGACATGATGTAGGAGATGATCCATGACCAGTATCTCCCATCAGTTGGCTGGTGTAGTTTTAGTTCAAAGAAGCAGCTGGGAAGAGAGCCAAGTAATGCATAGGAACCCTTTCTTCCACTTTCCTGATCTAAATGGAACTCTACAAGCTTCTGCTTGTACTAGTTCTGTATGTTGCTTTGGGAGGTGGGATTGCTTTTAGTCTGAGAAGTCCCCTGGGCTTCCAATTTCTTACCCTTGGTTTGCATAAATATATTGTTACATTATTGCATATATATATATATATATACCTTTCGATTTACTGATCGCTCAATCCGGCAGAGCTGCTGGCTCTGAGCGATTTACAGTTACACAGGTTTCACACAAGGGACTAACAATTTCATAGGGGTAAGCAAGGACAACATATAATTCTTTAAATCGCACACATTTGCAGCCGATGGGGATTTTGTTCAGCTGAAAGCTTCAGACGTGTTCCGGACATCAAATGAATACAAAACACACCACACTGACTACAGCATAGCAATGTTCTAAGTATGGTTGGAATGTTTTGAGAAACTAAAATAAACAAAGCTGACTTTTTTTTTTAACTTGCTGATATTCCTACACAAGTAAAAACCAACTGGGGGAAAAATTAACCATTAAAAAAAATCAGGCACAAATGACCTACAATGCAAAGAAGGAAGAAGGTGACAGCCACTATCTCAATAATTTGTCTGTACATCTGGAAAAAATATTTCAACTAAAATGTCTAGGGGAACCCTGACTGATTATTGGTCGTCTTCTGCAATTTGCATCAATACTTGAGAATACTTGCAGATGGCACATATGACCAATTAATTGATGTGATCTATTACCAAGTACATGTTAATTACACATTAAAAATGCATGCCAGTTAAACAGAAAAACCACTACACTGAAACAGAATCCCTTGAGCACTCTTACTACCCTCTCTAAAGCAAAGATGCATGGAGCCCAAACCGGGGAAGAGGGCAGGGAGGTAAAAGCTATACCCACACAGCCAAAGAATGCTCAATGCTGCTGAGCGTTGGAGGTACTCAGAACTCCTCCAAGGCCTCACTCAAATGCAGGGGCAAATTCCTGCTTTCCTCTCCAGCTCCAACAAACTGAAAGGTCTCCAGCATCCAACCCCCCAATATTTGTGGGGTGACGTTACATCGAATAACAGCACTCTCACATGCCCCCAGAAACTGTACCAAGTGGTTATCTATGTATCTGAAATCATGCGGCTTTGAACAGATGGACTAGTCAGGACACACACAAAATAAAAATAAATAAAAATTAACACCCTGTTTCAATGTGCGAAGCAAAAATGTTAGCGGCTGATTATTGCCTCCCATCTCCAATTTGCATGTGCACACAAGCAGGCGTGCACTGAAGATTCAAGAAAAAGAGGTCAAGTGCTTGGGGATAGCTGATGGCCCTGGCATTTCATCTTGCTGCCCTGAGATCCTGAAAAAGAAGCCCCCAAAACCTGAGTCTCAGGGCCAAAGGCAACACAGAGGGAGCATAAGAACATAAGAGAAGCCAATGTTGGATCAGGCCAATGGCCCATCCAGTCCAACACTCTGTCACACAGTGGCCAAAAATACCAGGTGCCATCAGGAGGTCCAGCAGTGGGGCATCCCTCTTATGCTAAGCCTCAAGGCCCTTGGAAATCAGCTTGCTGCTATCTGAGTTTCTCTGAGTCACAGACTACTTTCAGGGAGAGGCCTTATCTTTCTTTGGGGCTCCAAAGATATGAGAACAAGCAACATGCTCGCCTGTGGCAAGATGGTAATTACGTCTGAAGCTTCCTGATGTTCAGGAAAACAAAACCATAGCACTGATATACCTCCAGTCTTCTCTGAAACAACCCATTACAACATTCAGACTAAATGGGCATGGGGCACCTCTTGCCTCACTGCAGCTGGTGAAAAAGATCCCCCAGCTTTGCATTCTCCAAGCACAGAATGGAACCATGCAAATTTTAGAACTGAAGATCTGCTACTTCAGGTTGTCACCCTTCAAAGTCCTCCCAAAGTTGCTGTGGCTGAACTTTGACAATATGCAAAATATATGTAAATACAACTGGGTAATTATCCAGTCCATTTAACAGCAGATGGTTCGTCTCCAACAACAATTCAAGTAGCGCACACACAAAGCCCAAAACCAGACTGCATCTTTCTATCAGACTGTTGCAGCTAACCAGAAATTGTTTATTTCATGTGGGTGACACCCATTCTAAAAACATTGCATGCAACGGCACTTTAAGAAAGAAAAGAATCTGCCAAGTATTAATGGCTTTTTTATTACAAGTCATTGCCTAATAAAGTTTAAATGCTTCGTCAAACTAACACAATGAGCTCTGTGAACATTCAAAACCAGGGGTGGACAAACAACCAAATCTTGTATTATGGTTCTATTGAGCATTGTATGCTTGGGTTTCATTACTTTGGATGCTCAAGGCAACTGAAAGTATTACAGGAGCGTTATGTGAACTGTACAGTTTTGCTTGCAAGCAAGCAGGTACCATTTACATAAGGGGGTGTCACATACATCTGCTTTTTTTCAGGCCCTAGGAAACCCATTCCTCAAAAAGCAGCGATATCCACAGGCCAGCTCACTGTAACATCAACATCATCATGTTGTCGAAGGCTTTCACAGCCAGAGCTCATTAGTTGTTGTAGATTTTCCAGGCTGTATGGCTGTGGTCTTGGCATTATAGGAGCTGACGTTTCGCCAGTAGCTGTGACTGGCATCCTTAGAGGTATAAGTACTCTCTGTGTCAATGTGAGAAGAAAAATGGTAGGCAGGTAATTTAAATCTACTCAGGAAGGTGGGGTAGGGCTGGGTCATTATCTTGTAGGAGTTTCCCAGGCAGTGACATGCTAATGGAGGAGCTTTCCTGGGGAGGTTCTTTTGCATATGGATTGGCTGCTGAAATTCTAATCTTATCTGTAGTGCTGCTGTAAGATGTAGAGCATTTTGTGTTTTTCAGGACTGGAAACCATGCCCTATTTATTTTTAAACTCTCTTCTTTCCTGTTGAAATTGTGTTTATGTTTATGAATTTCCACAAATTTCAATTTCAACATCAACACACTTGGAATAACTAAGAACCAGTTTGGTGTAGTGGTTAGGAGTGCGGACTCTAATCTGGGAGAACCAGGTTTGATTCCCCACTCTTCCACATGTAGCTGCTGGCGTGACCTTGGGTCGGTCACGGTTTTCTTGGAGCTGTTCTGGGAAGAGCAGTTCTCAAGAGAGCTCTCAGAGCTCCACCTACCTCACAAGGTGTCTGTTGTGAGGAGGGGAAAGGAAAGGAGATTGTAAGCTGCTCTGAGACTGCTTTGGGTAGTGAAGGTATAAATCCAATCTCTTCTTCTTCATGCACTAGCTATGTATGAATCTGCACCGTTTACTTTAAAACAAGATGGGGGGACAGGTGTCCAGCATGGATACCATTGATATTGTTAGTTATTGTGAAGAACTTAAAACAACCACAGAAACTTTACCCAACACAGATTTGCGGTCTGGGTGGAATTTTTTTTTTTTTGGTGCAACGTATTCTTGAGACTATGTACCAGCAGCACTCCAAATCTTGTTGAGATGCTCCCGCACTTTCTTAAATCTGGAACTGCACCACTGCATTACTGTCCCAATGCCACCCGCTCTGATATGAACAGTAGCACCTGATGCTAAGAGCTTCTCAAGCAACAGGCACAGACAAGAACTGGAAAACTCCCCTCTGTGTGCCCCTGCAAGAGCCAGTGTGGGGCAGTGGCTGCAGTGTTAGGCTAGGAGACCCAGGTCTGAATCCCTTCTCTGTCATGGAAGCTCACTGGGTGACCTTGGGTCAGTCACTCTCTCTCTGCCTAACCTACCTCACATGGCTACTGTTGCAAGGATAAGAGGGAGGAGGGAAGAAAGGCACTGTAAGCAGCTTTGAGTCCCCCCCACCACCACAGGGTAGAAAAGCAACCTGAATAGCCCAGAGTAGTCCGATCTCATCAGAGCTTGGAAACTAAGCACGGTCGGCCATGGTTCGTACTTGGATGGGAGGCCACCAAGGTTGCTATGCAGAGGAAGGCAGTGGCAAACCACCACTGCTCTTCTCTTGCCTTGATAACCCCTTGAGGGGGTCACTATAAGTCAGCTGCGATTTGACAGCGCTTAATTATAGGGGACGAGAGTGGGTTATAAATGCCTAAATAAATCATACACACAATAGGAAATCCCACTATTACAGCTTCTGGTTATGGTACACTGTTATGCAGGCCTTAGGACTGGCCACAAAGAGCACCCTTATCCCTCCTCCCAGCTCTTTTCTCCAGTGCAGAGAATTCTCCGCTAATGACTTCAGCCCAATGACAAGCCGGAATTCCAGCAACGGGAGCCTTGATCAGAGGGCACTCTCCGAGAAGTACCTGCATCTCAATCAGTGATTAACCTCTTAAGGGCCATTTCAACACACAATAGCAACAAACCCAGGTTTGCCCTCAAGCACACCCCGGACAGGGGGCACAGCCAATCCCTGCTCTGTGTATCCTTATTTTTTTAAAAAATTGTGCCCACAGAGCCCCAAAGCACTGGCTGGCCACTAAGTGAGACAGGATACTGGACTAGACGGACCATTGGTCTGATCCAGCA